TCATAAGCTATCTGCTTGCAAAATTTGATGCAAATCCGTTCAGTCTTTTCCACGTATTAATTGAATTAAACTTTTTTGGCAGGTGGTAACTCTTAAAACAGTAGCCTATTTTTCAACCTAGCTCATAAGCTATCTGTGTGAAAACTTCCATGCAAATCAGTTCCCTCATTTCCGCGTATTAATTAAATTAAACATTTCTAACAGGTGGCAACTGTTAAAAAAAGTAGCCTACTTTCTAACCTAGGTCATAAGCTATCTATGTGCAAAATTTCATGCAAATCCGTTTAGTCGTTTCCGCGTATTAATTTAATTAAACTTTTTTAACAGGTGGCAACTCTTCCAAAAAATTAGCCTATTTTCCACTGTAGGTCATAAGCTATCTGCTTGCAAAGTTTCATGCAAATCCATTCAGTCATTTCCGCGTATTAATTTAATGAAACTTTTTTAACAGGTGGCAACTCTTAAAAAAAATAGCCTATTAACCAATCTGGCCCACGCTATCTGCGTACAAAATTTCATGCAAATCCGTGCAGCCGTTTCCGCGTGATGATTTCCCAAACATCCAAACATACAAACTTTCACATTTATAATATTTATTAGATTATAATACGTTATTTATTTTATCAATTCAATTGAGTTAAATTTTCAACCAGGCGGTAACCCTCCTCCAACATATTTTCTGCTGTAAGCCTTCTCAAAACTCTTTAGTTTGATACCCACATTGCAATGTTTCATTTGTTTAACCAATTTAATTGAGTTAAATTTTAAAACAGGTGGCAACCCTCCTAAAACATATTTTCTACTGTAGGCCTTAACTCTTTAGTTTTCTACCCACATTGCAATATTTCATTTGTTTAATCAGTTTAACTGAGTTAAAATTTTCAAATAGGTGAGAACCCTCTTCAAAAGTGTTTCCAAAAGTCTTTTTTCTTAAACCTCTTTAATTTGATACCTATATCAATTAAATTGGGTTAAATTTTCGAATAGGTGGCAGCCCTCCTCAAATATATTTTCGGCTGTAAGCTTTCTTAAAAATCTAAAGCTTGATACCCAAATTACCGTATTTCATTTATTTTATCAAAATAACTGAGTTAGAATTTACAAAGATGTGGCAATTTTACTCAAAAATATTTCCAGCAGTTATCTTTCTTAAACATCTTTTATTTAATATCTAGATTGTTATACCTCATGTAGTTTATAAATTAAATTGCGCTAAATTAACAGGCGGCAACCCTCCTTTAAAATATTTTCGATTGTAAGCCTTTTTAAAACTCTTTAGTTTGATACCCACATAGCAATATTTCATTTACTTTATTTAATTTAACTGAGTTAAAATTTTTAAATAGGTGGCGTATTTCCAACAGTAATCTTTCTTAAACCTCTTTAATTTAATACCCATATTATAATATGTCATTTATTTTATCAGTGTAATTTAGTTAAATTTTCAAACAGGTGGCAACCCTCCTCAAACATATTTTCGGATGTAAGCCTTCTTAAAACTCTTTAGTTCGACACCCACGTGGCAATATTTCATTTATTTTATCAATTTGACTGAGCTAAAATTTTCAAATAGGTAGCAACCATCGTCAAAAATATTTCCAGCAGTTATCCTCTTTAAGTTGATACCTGTATTGTAATAATTCATTAATTTTATCAATATAAATGGGTTTAAAAATTTTCAAATAGGTGGCAACCCTCCAAATTTTTGCGATATCATTGGTTCTGGTATTATACCGAACAATATAAAACAAAAATTTCAAATCGGTTTAACCGTTCTCGAGTTTTGATGACCGTGACATACGAACACAACATTTTTATATATCTGTGGTCATAAGCAATAATCGCCTAAGTCGTATAACCAGAATTCGAGAAAAAACGCTTTAAAGATTTGGATTGTAATGTTAACCGTATGGGAAAACCAAAATATTTTCTTCTATAGCCTTATAAACATAGAATAGTAGTTGCAGAAAACGGTAGCGTATATAACCCAATTCTTTCTTAAGTCGACTTAGGCGGTTATTGCCTATGACCACAGATATATAGATGTGCTTTGATAGTTGCATATAAGTATGGAAAACGAGAGCTTTCAGCTTGGAATTCTTTGTTAACATTGTTAATTTTGGAGAAAATATACGATAGAAATAAAAATAGCATCTGGTTTTGCAACACATTCCTTCTGCCAGGTCTGCAGATTGCATTCCGTTTACTTATTAAAGCAGGAAATAAAATAACGTTTCAAGCTATCCCATTTCTCAACTTAACACAATGCTTCCTAGTGAAGGCCATCGTGTTTGAGATATGCCCAAGATTTTGTGGGTTTTAGAGCGCGGTTACCCAAGAAAGTGTACGTAGCGTAGCGTAGAAGTATGTAGAGACATATAAAGTTTGCTGTTGATAGAAAGAGAGAAGGAACGTCTGCGTCACGGTCATGCGATGGTGAGTTCTTGTTAGCACGCAGCTCACATAAGATAGATCGTGTCAGCTGACACGTTCTCCGTTTTAACGTCCGTGGGTAACTGCGCGTTTACTGAAATTCCTTCAGTTCGTGTATCAACTTCGGGCTGTGGGAAAAGAAACTATATATGTTGCGGCACGGTGTCAATGCTTTTCGGCAATTTTTTACAAGCGTAGCTTGAGCAAAGGTGAAGTGAGTGGCATATGCACTTTATTATAAAATAAATCGGTTTCTGCATTCAATAATGTTTTCAGCCCGCTCAAGTCTCCAGCCATAACATTGGCTCCATTAGTGGCCAAACCAATTGGCAAATGTTAATAGGTCCTATTGCCAAATACTTATATGCAAAATGATGCTTGAAATATATATTCTTATAATTAAGAATTTAAAAACTTAGTTCAACTATCCGACCAAAATCTTACTTTGCCGACGAACCTACCAAATGGAAAAGAGGCGACCAAATTTGGTCGGAAAAGACCAATAGTGGCAACACTGACCACAATAACCAATGTCAATGCAGTTCTTTTTGCAACCTGACCCCCGAAATGCAGCCTCCCAGATAATAAGATGTTGATAGCCAAGGTTAAGATTTTAAAAGGAACATTATTTTTTTTATTCTGTTATGTAGGTACTTGCTTTATGTACAATGTGCAAGTCCAATTAAATATATAAAAAAATACATACAGTGGTCAAACACCCATAGCCGAACCCCTTTTTGCCAAGATTTAACGTATTATTTTTGTTGTTATTAAATTTTGGTTATTTTTATACCCGAGCGCACTTGTGCACGAGGGTATTATAACTTTGTTCACATAACAGTTGTACAAACAATCAAAACGAATCGAGATAGATATAGACAAATGAATAAAATGAATGAAAAAAGAAGTCATGTCTTTCTGTCCGTCCGTCCGTCCGTGCACACGATAACTCGATCAAAAATTGAGATATCTCAACGAAATTTGGTGTGTAGATTACCCTTTGCCCAAGGTAAGCTGGTATTGAAAATGGGTAAAATCGGACCACGCTTACTTGCCATATAACGTTAGTTTTCAGAATTACGAAAACTGCGATGTTTTAGTAACTACTGAAGATAATCCACTCAAAACTGATATTTGTAATAACCTTTAGACGAAATATAAGAGTATTATAATTTTTTTTAAATGGGCGTAGCCACGCCCACTTATGACTGCATGTGTATATCTTGGTAACTGCTCCACCGATTTCTCCCAAACTTGGCACAGTGGTTAGCCTTGGTACAACATACCCAAAGCCTGAAAATTCTCAAAATCGGGAAATAACTACGCCCACATCCCATATAACGGAAATTTAGAGAAGCTAAATTATTCAAAATTGATGACTGCGATAATTCTTTAGCAGAAAACACATTTATGATAAAATTTTTGAAAATGGGCGTGGCACCGCCCACTTATGACCAGGTATGTATATCGCGGTAACCGTTCGATTAATTTGTACCAAACATGGTACGCTCATTTCGTTTACCAAATAAAAGTAAACCGTTAAAAATGATTGAAATAGGACTACTTTTCATATAACGGTAAATTTCAGAAATTTTTGAGTTTCGATATTTCGAAATTTAAGGATGCTAATTTACTCAAAATTGATACTTAAAACAATCCCTTTAAAATAAGTAAACTTATTATAGAATTTTGGAAAGTGGGCGTGATACCGCCTACATCTGCCTATATAAGTTTATCTCATCATNAAAAACAATCCCTTTAAAATAAGTAACCTTATTATAGAATTTTGGAAAGTGGGCGTGATACCGCCTACATCTGACTATATAAGTTTATCTCATCAAGTATAACTGAACATACTATCGAAATTGTTAGAAATAGGGATAAAACCACTCTTCTTAGATACCATGTGACGGCAGTTTATTAAAAAAAAGTTCATTCTTTAAAAAAACACGTGTAAATCCAAGTTTACAACTTTGTGCAATATTTAAAAAAAGAACCAACAAACTTTCGTACAAATTTCAATCTTTGTTAAAAATTCTAAAAAAATCAACCGTAATTTGTAGCCATTTGAAACTTGTATTTTATTCTACTAGAATTCAATGGACTACAAAACTGCATACTCAGAATGTAATTAAAAATTTCGAAATTTTTACGAAAATTTGTTGAATATTTTTTTTAATTGCGTAAATTTTTAAGGCAGTGTCACTCGATTGGTATATTTGTACAGATTTGTTAAATTTCATATTGGGCTATTGGCACAAAATAAAAAAAATTGGGACATTTTTTTGTAGTTAAAAGATTAGTACAATCAGGGTTGGAAAAAAACATGTTTTTTTAAGACAAAATCGTCGCGTTTTATTCAAAAAAGAAAGAAAACACGTTTTAAACAAATTTTTGGCAAATATTTTAATTTACGTGTTTTAAACATATTTAAACATTATTTTAAACACTTTTAATAATTCAATACTTTCGAAATTAAGGGTAGGTAGAAATCAAATCCAACGAAGAACTCATAAAATATCTATTCAGAATTAATAATAATGTTTACCATTAAAATGAACGATATATAAAAACAAGTAATTTTTAAGCAAAAAACAAGACTTCAATTCTCATATAAAATATATATATATATATATATATTTCATGATCCAATGATCGGATCTAAACCAGATTAGTATGGGACCACCTCTGAGACACTACCTTTCCGATGAATTATCGAAATCGTTGGACGTGGTCCAAAGTCATGCGGTAACATACATAAAAAAAATAAATATTAAAATGTGTGTGATTAAAATGTGAAAGTTTGTATGTCTGGATGTTTGGGAAATCGTCACGCGGAAACGACTGAACGGATTTGCATGAAATTTTGTACGCAGATAGCTTATGGGCCAGATTGGTTAATAGGCAGTTCTTTTTTAAGAGTTGCCACCTGTTAAAAAAGTTCAATTTATTTAATATGCGGGAACGACTGAACGGATTTGCATGAAAATTTACACACAGATAGTTTATGACCTAGATTGCAAAATAGGCTAATTTTCTTAAGAACTGCCACCTGTTAAACAACTTTAATTAAATTAATACGCGGAAAGGATTGAACCGATTTGCATGAAATTTTGCACGTGGATAGCTTATAATCTAGGTTGGAAACTAGGCTACTTCTTTAAGGGTTGCACCTGTCAGAAATGCTTAATTTAATTAATACGCGGAAATTGGAGAACTGATTTGCATGAAAGTTTTCACACAGATAGCTTATGAGCTAGGTTGGAAAATAGGCTACTTTTGTAAGAGTTGCCACCTGCCAACAAAGTTTAATTATATTAATGCGCGGAAACGTCTTACCGGATTTGCATGAAATTTTGCAAGCGGATAGCTTATGACCTACAGTGAAAAATAGGCTAATATTTTGTAAGAGTTGCCACCTGTTAAAAAAGTTTAATTAAATTAATACGCGGAAATGACTGAACTGATTTGCATGAAAGTTTGCACACAGATAACTTATGACCTAGATTGGAAAATAGGCTACTCTTTTAAGATTTGCCACCTGTTTGAAAATGAAATTTTGCTCACAGATGGTTTATGGCATGGATTGAAAAATAGGCTACATCCTTAACCGGTTTCTCGATCAGAACGAAATTTGGTACACTTACTACGCATTTCGCAAGGATGGTCTTAGACTGAAAGTAATTCCGATACCTCAGGCCCCTCCCATACAAATTGGAATTTTCATATTACATACATATCTCTGGAAGTATTTGTGGGAGAGAACTGGAACTTGGTATAGAGATATGTATGTGAAATCAATGTTGGCATTAAATCAATTAGTTAATTCGATGAAATTCAATCTGATTACAGTTAATCATGATTAATTTCAATCTGACTAAACAGTTAATCGTAACCACGATTAAAAAATTAATTTTTAATCATTAACTCTTAATTTGATCAAGTAGGTTTGGTGATTAATTAATTTATGCTGGAATTTTCCTGTGCAAACAAAGCAAGTTAATC